AGAGACAGCCCCATGGCCCTAGACTATTCATGTCGGATATTTCACGCGCTAATAGCCAATATATGCCCCTAAAGCATGGCGTACGTGAATCTGCATACTCGGAGAAAATAATTGCAAAGAAAACTCGAATATTGATTCAATTTGTTAGCTTTGCTACGTTGTTAAAACGTTTGCTCGCCCTAAGATCAAAGCTTAGCGTGTTGTACGCTTAAACTACCGGTGGTAAATAAAAATCATTTCCTTTCAGCAGCAGAATCTCGTTGAAAACCCCAATAAGACATCTCTGAGTCGTGCCAAGTCCTTTGGTCTCTGCTTTCTCCTGGCCTTCCTCAATAATCAAGTGTAGGTGTAGGTTTGGGGACCACTGATGCCGCCCGGGGTTGTGACCGTCACGGGCACGGCGCCAAGCGCGACGTGCGCAGGCGCAACAGCAGTGATAGTGCCGTCATCTTCAACGGTGAATAGGGCTCCAGAGGTATCGAATGTCACTGCGGTAGCCTGAGTGAATCCGGACCCGGTTAGGGTTACGTTATTACCCCCAAGGCGAGATCCCGTGGTAGGACTCAGCGCTGCCAGAGTCGGAGCGCCCAAATAAGTGAAAGGCACGGCATCGCTAAAAGCAGCATCAGTCACGACAGTCACAGGAGCCAGTCCGACCGGTCCAGGAGGGGAGGTCGCTGTCAGCTGGTTGTCCGAAATGATTGCTTGGGCCGTAGCAGGTGTGGCCCCAAACAGAACCTCATTTGTATTCGACAGACCTGCGCCGCTGATGGAAACTGCAGTTCCTCCTGCAGTGGAACCAAAGGCTGGGGTGATCGAAGATATAATCGGCGGAGCCTCGAAGGTGAAGGTCAGTGAGCTGTTGGTCCCTCCAGTAGAAGTCACCGTAATTGGTACTGTCCCAATTGCATGCGAAGGTGTAGTCACATCCACTTCAGAGTCGGATACAACATTTATTGCGGTACCAGGGATGGTTCCGAATAGCACACTCGTAGTTCCCGTCAGACCACTTCCTGTGATCGCAACCTGTGTACCTCCACTTATGAGATCTGCCGACGGCTCCACAGCTGTGGGTGCAGGGCCAGCAATGTAAGTATACTGGTCTCCTGGGTTGATTGGACTAGATCCATTAGGTGTTGTAACAACCACATCAACCGTACCGGCGACAGTCGACGCGGGGACTGTCGCATTGAGGGCAGTGCTTGACAAGACAACGAAGAAGGGCGCTGTAACACCACCAAATGTGACTGATGTTGTGCCAGTCAAATTCGTTCCGGTCACCGTGACGACATTACCGCCGCTCAATGGTCCGCTGACTGGGGACAAACTCGTGACAGTCGGGGTTGGAGTAGGATTCCAAGTCCAAACATTGCCAGTATCAGCCGCACTCGTTCCGCCCGGGTTAGTGACGAAAACATTAGTTGTACCAGTTCCAGGCGGAGAAACAGCATTGATCAAAGTGCCCGAAACAATCGTGTACGATAGAGCCGAAGTTGTGCCGAAAGTCACGGCCGTGGCGTTTACAAACCCAGTTCCTGTCACCGCAACCAGCGTTCCGCCTGTCGCAGGGCCGTTATTGGGATTCAGAGACGTGACCGTGGGTGCTGATATCGTAGTGTATGTATAACCCCCGGTCAGAGTGCTGCTATTGCCAGCTGCATCACTGACCGTGACGTCTACAGCTCCCGGTGTCACGGTTGAGGGGACGACCGCTGCTACCGTGTTGTTGGAAAGTGCTACCACGCTAGTCGCAGCCGTGCCGCCGAATGTCACAGAGTTAACAAATCCCAAGTTTGTTCCTGTCAATGTGACCGTGTTCCCTCCAGAAATCGACCCACTGGTTGGTGACAGCGAGGTGAGACTCGGCAAAGGAGCAACCACATACGTGAAGTTGACAATTGAAGTGCTGGTACCGTTGGGGGTGGTAACGCTCACTCGTACGGTGCCGGCTGTGTTAGCTGGCACTACGACGGAGACAGTCGTTGCGGTGGACGAAGTGGGAACGGCGGTCACAGTCCCAAATGTGACGGTGGTGGCTCCAGCAAGATTGGTTCCTGAAATTATCGCTGTTATACCACCGGTAGTCGGCCCCGAAGTGGGGTTGATCCTGGAGATTGTAGGCAAGGACATTTCGTGTCGCTAGTATCGGTGCTGGGTTTCAAAGATTGATTGTTATAAATCACTGTTTGTTCGACTTGATCAGTTTTCAAACCTGGAGAAGGAGTTGAAGTGCTTTAAGTATGGCTGTTCTCAACCCAAGTCGCATTATTGAGGCCATTGTCACAAGATATGGCGTCGTTCGATAGTCACAAGGTAGCGTCAATTGTTTGTGGTCATATGCATTCTTGACGATCCTTAAGGTTGCTTGAGGTGTGTGCAAGGTGGTTCAAGTGTTGATCAGGTGGAGGTATTCAGAGAGATGTGGGTTCCGCAGCATCAACTATTCCATCTAGGCCCATTCGACTTGTCTTGGTATGTTGGTCGAATGGTGCACAGAATAGAAAGTGTTATGTAATTGTTTGCCACTTTGAGGTCAAGAATTGTTTGATATCACTATTGGTACGGAGATTTGCGTAGCGGACATCAATGAGGCGTATGCGTAGTGGTATAGGTGCCTGCCATGCAAAAAAACCCCCCTTTTTTAGGTAGTATTGATGCTTGAATGCCTGAATTAGGTACTATTACAGAGGCCTTGATGGGCTAGGTCTGTTAGTTGATCCTCTCAAATATGAAAATGAAACTTTTAACACTATATAAATTCTTGTATCACCTGGCAAGTTTTAATATAGACTAGTTAGGGGCCGGGCTTAGTTAATCCGTACCGAAAATAGAGTAAACCACCCAAAAAGTGGTGATACATAAATTTGTATGGCGTCAAAAGCTTCATTTTGACATATGCGGTGTAAGACGCGGTCTTGGTTCTAGCGATAATCAGGCATTCAGGCATCAATACTACCTAAAACAGGCACCTATAGCTCTCTCGGGCACGGACACCACAGCCACACGATATCTTGTGATCTTTCCCCATGTTTAACCCCAGGATGGTCAATATTCCCCGTTCATTTTGTCTTATTGTCCGCTTTTCTGAATTGTGTGTACGCACTAATGTGTTGTGACTCTGAAGTCTTTTCAACTGCTTGGTCTCAGAGAGACTGGTGAAACTGCTATCCCAAAATACCCCGATATACCTCCTGGTCTAGTCGACCTGTCTTCCAAGCGAATGACCGCGCCAAAATGTCATTTTTACCTTTCGGGATCATTTCTCCTCCCGGTTGAAGAGCAAATACAGTTCTTGTCCTAGTTGTTTGAAGGTACCTTGTATCAATGCCTCCACACGCCCTCCAGTATAAATAACGGATCAGTATCAAAGGGTATCTCAAGAGACGAAGAAACCCACGTAATCACAAGCGCAGGCACGAATGTAGCCGATGCAAAACATCTTGTTCCTCAAGAAAATGATGAAAGGATTACCATAGTCCAGAAGAAGAAGCTTAGAGAGGAGAAATATCTTGGTTGGGCTGAAGTGAACAAACGATTCAGTCAGCTGGACACTGCAAGGTTACATAGTGTTAGTACGATGTTTCACGGTGTCTATATAAGCTTAGATTTCGATACTTTTGGCGAAATTATAGTTCAGTCTTCGATCTTTCTTTTGACCCGTAGCATTCTAGATCTTCCACATGTTCAAGTTATATATCTTGTAATAGTAATTTATTTTCTTTATTATATGACCCATAAAATCAATCGCCCTAAAGTGATTCGCTGAACTTATTTAGCCGAAATTAGCCTCAGAAAATCTCCTTGATAGCCAAAAAAATACGAGATTTAGACCTACTTGAAGGTAGAGCTTCAAGTCTACTTTCGCTTCTATTGCGATTTATGCCGAGATCTGCTTAAGTTAGTGAAACCAGCGCCTATGAATCTAATCTTTAGAGTGCTGTGTCACTTCAAGGTTACATAGTGTTAGTCCGACATTTCACGATGATGTGGTTTTGAATAGTAATAGTGTAACATGGTGGTACTATAAATCCATGAAAGGACACCAACCGTCAAGCAAAATCTTGGTCCCAGATCTAGTTGCCTTGTCGTTGGCTACCTTCGTGTATTCCAATGCGTCTGGTTATTCTTACCATCCTGTGTGCTGTAGCAAAAGCTGCCTTTTCTACAGCACCTAAAGACAATCTCAATGCCCTGCCTACCGGATTATCTGATAGTGCACCATCCGGCTCTTCCCCTGGCCAACTTGATGGAATAGATATCCAAATCGACACACCAAAATTCAATTTATCAAGCGATGACCTCCTGGTTCAGCTTGCCAGAGACTCGAATGAAGTTAGCGGAGATTCTGACCCTAACTTCGAGGCAACCCAGTTCTATATGTGCTGTCAGCAAACCAATACCTCGGCCGTCATCGATAACTACTATCCACCGTATGCGTGTATATTCGGACCTAGCACGGGTGTATGTCCTCAAGTCAATTCTTCGTTTCCATTTCCATGGCTGTGCACTCTCCCTGGGTGGTGGGTTGGTAGCTTTGTGAGTATACACTATACACTATATCAGCACATCATGATAACGCGTCTCTGACAATCTTACGCAGAACTGTTCATACCAGCCTTAGCCGACCTTGATACTACACCCATATTGACTGTGTATTATATGCATGGTTGAACGAGACATGAGTGGAACATTCTGTCCTCCGTGATGTCCTGGGTATTTTCAATGCACATCTGCCGTCGACCCCGAGCTCCTAAATATATGTCGACCAGAAATGCTCACTTCTATACAGTCATTTCGTTTCCTGGCTTTATGTATTTAGTCGGCAACCACCTTACGATGGATAACTAAACAGTTACTTGAGCAAGTGCTCGTTTTATTAAACACACACTCCTTTTACAATTTCTTTAGTGATGAGCCCATTCTTGAAACCAAAGAGTGCACTTCAACCAGAACATTTAGTACAGGATAGGAAGGAACGACCCTTCAGATTGTAACATTTCTCACCTATCGCCATCAATGTCAATATCCACAATCACTTCATTAGATCTCTGGAAATTCCGAGGCCTCCCATCTTCCATCCACACTATAGTGTCTAATGTCGGTCTCAAGTCTTTCCGCACGGCGTTGATTCTGTGGGCAATGGCAATGGTGGTATGCCCTTGATTCACGAGATATTCTTTTACCATTTCTTGCATCTTGATTTCCGTTTCGAGGTCCAAGGACGAGCTGGCCTCGTCCAGGAGTATAATCGGTTTCCGTTGGTCAATCACAGGGTCCCATTCGAGAGTTGATGGCGTGACTCTGAGTAACGCCTGAGTGAAGGCGAATATCTGTCTTTGACCTGTAGAGACAGGTGGGAAACTAGCCAGCGGCTGATCGAGAAAGTCTGTATTCACGGTACCGGGAATAATTGCGTTCGTTGTGCAGCTCTGTCGATCGAGTGTAGATTCTTTTGACCAAAGACCAGTCTTGTGAAGGATCTCTAAGATTGTAACATCTTGATGCTGATTGTAGGGGTCAAGGTTGAACCGAAGGCTTGCGTCGGGAAGCATAAAAGGGTCTTGAGGTACAGTAACGAAGCACCGGCGCCGTACAACATGTACTGGCAAGCGGGTGATATCCACGCCATCAACCTCAATTGTTCCAGCCTGGAGTCTTAATAACTGCAGCAGCGTAAGAAATAGACTGCTTTTGCCACTGCAACAAGCCATTTGAAAGTTCAGTCAGTTTTTAAAACTTCAAGAAATTATTGGGTGGTTTCAAGTACCTGCCAGTCCGGCCACACAAAATGACACCTGAGCCACCTGGAATGTCCATACTAACCCCACGAAGTACTGGGACCTGTGAACTGCAAACATAAAGCTTATCAGTTATTAGTCTATCATGTCCTGACAAGAATCACTGACTTATAGCCTGCTGATAGGTCTTTGATTTTCACGGAACCCATACTCGGCCACTCGGGAGAGGGCTCTAAGCAGTCCCAGCCTTCATCTTCAGAAAGGGTGCCATGATCAACAGATCGCAGCCGTGACACTGCGCCAAGGGAAGTCTCGAGTGTTGTCCAATTTTCAACCAAGCGAAGCAATGTCGTGTTTGCAGCAATAATCATGTTCAGCGCAATACCCATGTCAGCACCTGTAACTGTATTCCGAAACCTCACTGCTGAAGCAATTAAAACCAAGGCAACTCCTGCGATTAACAAATCTAAAACCACATTCAACCACCTCTGTAGACAAAGGAGCAGATACAACGGCCTCTGCGAGATGTCTAGTTTCTGGATGTTGTTGATCGCAAATCTTTCTTCCCATCCAAATGCACGAATTGTAGCAATTCCTTCAACCTGTTCCGGAATTAGCGCTTGGCAAACTTGGGGCGGGCATATCCTGCTCACTGTCTCTAGGAAACTTGTATAGAGTTTTGCTCTTGACTCTAGGTCAATGAAACGCAGTTGTCGAGAGGTTCTCAAATAAACTCGTTGAATCAAGTATACACAGATAGTACAAAGCGGTAAAGTCATTGCCATAATGGGCTGGGCCAGAAATATGACTATGCACTGTATCATAAGTTTGAAGATTTCTGGCATCTCATGTTAGCGTCCACGGGTGAGTAGGTGGCTAGCAAATATAATCCTGAACATACGGTTGCTGAGATTTGCCAGAGCTGAAGGCATTTCCTTGTCGGCTAATTGAATATCTTGACCGAATCTAACGTATGCACAATTTAGTAAAGTTGCTATCAGATGGAATTAGTTAGCCAGACCTATTCAATATGGTCCCGATCTCAAAAGTTGAAAAGTATGAAAGTGGCGCACTGATAAAATTAGCGACTTGGCCTCCTTGTCGAGCAGACTTTTGAAACTCACTTCATTATCTTTCCGAGGAGTCGAGAATGCAGAGCAGAACCAGATCGTGGAGCGATGAGTATATGCGTCGACCTTGAAATAGTTAAGTTATATGGCATGATTGGTAGGAGAGGTGGACTAACCACATGGTCCCGTTGGTTGCTATCCAAGCCATCAGGGACAACAGGAAATAAATCAAAATATACAACGATGAGTTTACAGTGTTGGATTCCGTCCACCACTTGAGAATGTACTGTGAGAAAGTCAGACAGAATGCATATGTTGCCGTGCAGCTGGCCATGAACAATATATTTAAAATGCCGGCTGCATCAAAATAATAGCCTGGATTTTGCATTAGATCTCACTCAGGATTCGTGTAGCACTGTAGATACAGCACTTACCGTAGACCGCCAAATCACCGGTTCTCCTTGATTTATCGGCAGCGGCATCATCTATGCGTGTTCCATCTGTCTGGAATTTGATGTTATTTGCAGATAGATCACCCTCAGGTGTCTTCTGTGAAACAGGCATCTTTCTCATTTGGGAGTCTTCCTGAAGGGTGGCATCTGGGGGGCTGCAGACTTGCACTTCTCCTTCATTGAGCAAAACGATCTTATCGGCCAAGTGATAATACTTAGCTGAGCGATGTCAGAAATGATAAACTACGGATAATGGTGGGTATGACACACTACCATGCGTGATGAGAAAGACTGTGCTTTCCATTTTGCGCAGAAGCCCTTCAGGGCCAAGCAATGCCTTGACAATTTGGCTCTCCACTGCCGGATCGATCGCACTGAACGGGTCATCTAAGATCATAGTACGACAGCGAGAATACACCGCACGAGCAAGAGCCTTCGAAAATTCTCTCAGTGATGTGAAACATTGAGCGTCTGAACAAGCGGGAACTTACGATGCGAGCTTGTTGTCCCCCAGAAAGATTAATGCCACCGCTTCCAACCCATGTCATATCTCCATCAACCAGGGATTCTAAATCAGTATTGAGACTGCAGGCTTGGATGACAGTCTGGTACCAGTCTGCATCAAATTCACTTGATTGTCCGCTAATGACATCCCGTATGGAGGCAATAGGAAGCCAGGCAGAAGGGCTGCAGAATGCGATACTATCATCCGAAACAGTAATCTTACCCTCCGTGAGGTTGATTTCTCCGAGAATTGTCAATGCCAGGGCTGACTTTCCACTGCCAATAGGTCCTGAGCATATGGCAATTGAACCTTCGGTCATTTGAAAGTTGACATTCCGAAGAACTGAATGTGAGCTAGAGAGTTGGACGGTAACATTTTCCAATTCGAATGCCAGTCGTCGATCAGGTTGCAGTTTGTCTTTGCTACGCTCATCTGCCAACGATCCTTGCGTCAGGTAGGCTTGTATCCTTTCGAAATTTGCCAAAGATGCAATAGCACGAGGTATTATCGTCATCACCATATTGGCCGGATGGGTGACTAGGCCGAGAAGAGCAATGGAGGTAAAGACGGTATCAGCATTCAGTACATCCTGTGCGTTGCGAGAGACAGCAAACAGGATCAACGTCAATACCGGGGAGAATATCCCTAGTGTATTAGCTAAGAGCAACCAATAGTCAGCCTCAATGTATCACAGTCAAAAGAGATTGGTGGCATCTTACCACTGGCATTGTATGCTACCATAATCCATCGTAGGCTTACCGACCTCGCAATCTCTCGGGTCCGCAAATTCGACACGAGGAGGCTGACAGCCTGCTCGAGACCTAGAATCTTCACACTTTTAATCCCCCCAAGGATAGAGGTGAGCATTGAAAGGCGATCCTGAGTTGCAGCACTCCAGTCCTTTTGTCTTCCCTGTAGGTGTTTTGCAACATATGCGCTCATTTGTGAGCACCCTGGAGTGGTTTAGCTTTTGTCTAGATCGGTGTCTGCCTGTAACATACCAAATATAATGAGTAGGGGCAGTAGTGAAAACCATCCAATTTGTCTTGCAAGGAGAGTCGTTCCGACCAATACTTCCACGACCTGGGCCCAAGTCTCATGAATCATTTCCGCAGAGGTGTTGACGCTGTCGACGTCTGCGCTCATTAGTGTCAAGGCCTTTCCATCCTGTTCAGGTGAAGTTTCAGCTCTGAGCGAACGAGCATGAAGAAGACCAATAAGAGCCCCCCGCATCATCATCCGCAGCCGGTTAAGCTTATGTCGGTATGACGATGTGGAGATCTATACAACGATATGATCAGATATCTTCATTTGATGTGGCTGTTTAGGAAACCTACTGCAAGGCCGCAATAGATGATGGCAGTGAGGAAAACAAGCCAGTATCCTGAATCAATGCTGTCGTGGGGGCTGTCATTTCGCACAAAGCTGATAGCAGTTTTGATAAGCGCCGGCTGTGAGTAGCGGAAGACTATCAAGAAGAAACGTGGTAGAATAGGCGACAGGCACTCTGCCCGGAAACAACCAAAGAGAACACGCGGTAAGGTGAACCTGTTCTCTGGTTTTACTGAAAAGAACGTCAGTTATTTCGTTGCGAAGAATTGGTTAATATTATGCTTACATCTCCGTGTCCAAGCCCGTATCACCCGTTCCCTTAAGATCGTAGAGGAGAGAGCTTGGTCGACCTTGGGTAAGTCATCTTGTGTTAGGATTTTACAGTAACCCTCCTTGATAATAGGATTGATCCACCAAAACAGCGCACGACCAAGAACTCCCGTAGCTTCCTCGGGCACGACATGCTTATAGTGAGGCTGTAAGATTGAGAGTTTATTTGGAAACTCCACTACCAATAGGCTCAACTCCAGCGCCAATCTTATGCTCACGAGGATGAGCCCGGCAGTTCCAAGATCCCCCGACGGTAAGGTCAGGACAATAAAATCATTGATAGAATATAAGCCCACGTATAGAGAGATTGTACTAGACGGCCGCACAGTCCGGCGATGCTCTAAGAACGACAGTATAGAAAGCTCGAAAATAGCGACAGTCGATGCAAATAATGGAATCGGGTAAATCAAACCATCTGAAAGGTTTATTACTTCAATGAGAGAAATAATTTGGGTAACGGTAAGCCCAAGGACTAGGAACTATTGGCTCCAGATGGACACATCAGCAAGTCGATGGGTATTTTTAGGGAAGGGAAGGCAATCTGACTGTTTTGATGTGGCCATGGAGATTAGGAACCACTTTGGTAGCTGCACCGCGTAGATTCCACAGTTTGAAAGGCGCGTATAGCACGAAGATCAGTGATAACAAAGATGAGTACAGATTTAGCCAGTAATACGCGGCAGACATGGTTCGGAAGGAAGTGTGTTTTGTAGATATGGCGCCTAAAAGAGTCAAATCTCATCTCGTCCGAAGTTGTGGCATTTGGGCTTTATATCTGTCACCGCCATTCCTTTTTAACAGGGATTATGGTCATCGCTATTCAACTAGCGCGCAAGATTACGCGCTAGATATATTACTCCGTCTCAAGGAGTCCAAAGCGGCCACGATGGCGCAATATTATGTGTTAATTTGTTGCTGTATACATTTGATACGATGTGTTCAACGTTCGTAACGAGTCAGTCGGAGATGTTAGCAGGATTTGCTTATTGCTGGAAACTGTTTAATGTCGAGTATCTTTTTTTGTAACATCCTAAAATGTGGAGTGTTGGAATGAAAGTGAGTCTCCTATTTTTAAGGCACACATCCGCTAACCACCTTAGGAATGTACCTTATCCACATGATCACATGACTTATCACGGGTGTTCACGGGCAACTATTCGGGTACCCTCGGAGACTACTAGACGGATCAAAACCTCGATAAAACGGTTGTCACCCCTTCGATCGTCTTCATAGCCATGTTGATACATAAGCCATATAACTTAACTAACTAATGCTTTCATTTCCACGGCTTGTTGGCCAAACAAACCTTCGCGTCGCCATAGCACAAACTCGACCGCGCTCTCACTCGCTTCTTTATATCCCAATCTCGTCTTCTTTACACACTAGCTCAGCGCAAGGAAAAATGCTACCAGCACCCGTTCGTGCCGTCTCCTTTCCAAATGAAAGCAGGTTGGCATCGTCATATAAATCCGCTTATTTTGTTGACGCATTTGCTGTGTCCCTTCCAGTAACCAAGTCTGGAGAATACAGCCCAGATGCCCTTGCGCGGGCTTTTCTTTGCGAGCCACCTGTCTGGTTTTCAGTCCTGATGCGGATTAGAGATGGAGTTATGTCAATCTTTGGCGTGAAGCGCTCCACGGAGATACTGGCAGCGGCCGAGGAAAAAGGCATCGATACTATTACAGTATTCCCTGTCATCTCGCGCGCGGAGAACGAGATTGTCTTGGGAGAGGCTGACAGTCATCTCAACTTTCAGATTTCAATTCTGACACGAGATCAGCATTTTCCAACGGGCTATAAGGACAATAATAGAGAAGGCAAGGAGATGGTCGCAACAACGGTGGTTCATTGTCATGGGCTCCTTGGGAAGGCCTACATCGTGGTCATTAAAGCCTTTCATGTCATGATCGTCAAGTACTGTTTAGCGAGGGTACCAGGAAGGATTACAACAGATAATTAGCCGCAAGTCCATAGCACAAAATCCCAGCTCAAAATCTCAGCTCAGAACCAATTTCGTCTAATTCAATGGATCTAGATACACCTTACCGAAAGTAGTTTAGCGTAGGGTATTATTGTCCCTTAATTGAGATCTTTTGGTGATTGGGTCAGATCTACAGCGCCACATCAGGCTTCACAGTCATGCAGCGTATGTATATGAGTCACGGGTATCGTGACATCAAGTCACATGTATTCTCAGCCGTGCAACTCATGGAGATATCAGACATCTCTTAATAGTTAAGTATCTTCATTGTTCTTTGTATTCTATATACTTCACTCATATCCCTTCCATACTTCGCATTTCTTTGGTTCCCCGCAGTGGGTCCCGTGTGTGCCTGACCGCTCTCTTCCTCTTCGCTGTCACCTCTGTCTTGACATGCGCCCAACCTCGAAGCCTGTGAGATGAAATGCTTTAATGAGTCGGCTTGCATGCACTTCTCAATATCTCATACCCCACATTCATGGCTTTTGCAGATATTAACTGGGGAACGCTGATCAATTCAGACAAAAGCCCAGCCCCGCTGCTAGAACAGCTATGTCTAGGGATAGCGCAGTTGATGGTAAGTTCTAGACCCATCTGAAGTGGATTGGATACCAAAATAACACACCCAAAGTGCTCCTTCGATACCAACGCCACCACTGATATCACCCCGGATCGACTTGCTACTTTTTACCGCAAGGTCGGCGGCAACTACGACCCTTTATTCCTTGAGACCAAGGCACAAGCCCTATCATTCATCTACCAGTCACTAGGATGTTTCCACAGTCTCCAACCCTCAGCCAACCCTTACGAACCCCCATCAATTCCCTCGCTACTTCCGACTGGCTTCGTGCGGTGGCAGACAATACAACTGTTGATGGACCCAGATGAACACTCAGTGTATTTGCAGAATGCAGTCAGCCTTTGGGATATTGTAGACGCAAATGGCGAGATCTTTCCCAAGACGATCCCTCGAGACGCGTTTCCTTCTGAGCCTGACCCGGAGATGCTTGAATGGCATGAAGGCGTGAGTCGGCGATTGGAGCGTGACTATCTGAAAAGACACACGAAGCGTGCTTCGCCGCCAGACTTTGGGACATATCATTACCATTTTAGTGGCAAGGATCCTCTGCCCGACGAAGACGACTATTTCTCGCGTTCAGGCCGGGCGGCGTCAAAGCGCCACAGTCATGCGGAGCCCGATCGGCCCACCGATCATCGCAATCACCGCCGACGATATAGTGGAGAATATCCCGCATTCTCTACACGCAGGCCTAGAGCGAGTCGACCGGGCTTTTCGACCCCGAGAGTTTCATCCCCTCCCCCATGGGGGGAGCGTCCGCCCTATTCAAGCGGACGAGACCAAGGTGCTCGGCACGGCCATCCACTAAGCCCAGGAACAGGTGATATTCCAAATGTCTCTGATGTGTCTTCAGATGAGTCTGCACGCCGCCGCAAGGACCGTGCGGAACCGAATAAGCACCAAACCCGACGGCATCTCTCACCACCTTCTAGCAGTAATGCCAGACGTCACTCCCACGAAGCCTACACTCGCAGGCCATTCCGAGATCTGTCACCGACAAGCCCTACCCGAGATCGCCGCGGGTATGAGACTTACCCTTCACGATCTAGTAAATCCCACTCTGAGCCTTCATCGAAGTTTCACCCGAGAGATCATCGGGATAGGGATCCGAGAGATTTCCGAAAGGAACATTCAAAGGACCGTTCTCGATCGCGCACAGCGGGTGTCAAATTCCGCGAATTCATATTCGGTGACTCAACTCCTGCTCCAGCTGCTCCAGATCCACCTTTCTACAGGCCACCAACTCCTCCGCCAAGAGCAGTACCGAGACATCGAGGGACTCACGCCGCAGATGATATGAGAAGAGGAAGTTACAGTGGCGGAAGTACAGGTAATAGTCGACCCAGTAGCGGAGGAAGCGGGTCTGAGCGGCCGCGATCATACAGCAGTGCTGGATTCCACCCCCGTACAACAGGATGGGCGAGCCCTCGCAGCTCCCCTTCAAGGCGATATCCTCCGGCCACTGTTCCTGAAGATGACGGATACATTCCCTCGCGGAGGGTTCCGATTTACGAATAATTCCCACGACTTGCTGCACGTTGATATTTAACGAATCTCTTTCATTTTTTTTTTCATTTTCGGGCATATGGACATTTAGTTTTCATCGGCTCTATCACAACATTTTGCCTTTGGCGACTCATCTTTTTCACGACAAACCTAGCATTCCATTCTTATGTCTGGCGGACTTTTTTATTTGGCGTTTTGTTTCTTGTGGTTTTCTCGCTTAATTGCACCTATGATACTCCCCATTCGAATGAGTATGGAATGACAAGCTCAAGTAGATCAAAGCACACGAATATGAACTTGAACTTGAATGTGCATCATATATATCTGAAACTAAATGCTCAAGAGTTGTTCATTGTAGCGATTTAGTCAATAACCAAAACCGAATTCAACGTGAATCTAATCCGACAGCCGCGCCCTCTGGAAAGTAAACCCATAATCGCGCAGCACAGCACAAATCTCCTCGTCCTCAAAATTAGCCGTAGTAGACGGCGGCATTCCCAAAAGCGTCATATTCCGTGTCGAAGCCGTATACTGCTCAATAAGAAACCGCTTCTCAGAACGCCCAAACGAAGAGTTCGAACCAACCCACTCTCCACCAAATATATCGAGAGTACTTGCATACGCAGGACCACGGATCTTCAAGAACTCCAAATCTGGATTTGGGTTCCTTTCGCGGAAAAACGCACCGAATACATCATGAACAAGCTGTGAGTGCAAAATATCCCAATCGTCGTAGTACGGATACACATCTTCCGTCTTGGTATTCAGGGTACCCCACGCGAGCAAGACATCCGAGGTGTGGCAGGAAGCATTGTACGCAGTATTCGGGTAACAGATATCCGGCATATTCGATGTCTCTGCATGACCATCTGCAATTTGGACTTCGTATAGGACAGGAAAGATGGAAATAGAATTATCAAGAAGATAGCCCTGTGGGCAAGTCCACTGACTGTGCGATACTGCATCGGAAGCAGCGTTTAGGACGGCATCGTGGTCGGACTCATCGACCTTATATGCCCCAGAGGATATTATTTTCCGAGCGAGGGTATCGCCGAATATAACGCTAAGCAATGTAGCGAGTGGGCCCTGGGTCGAGCCAAAAATGGCCATGTAGAGGCTTGCTTCGTCACGGACATTGGTGAACATGGTCGGGACGTTGATTGGGAGCTTGTTCTTGGCGAGGAGGATATTAAATTGGTCGTCGATAACGCCTGATCCGGTGTCATCTACCATCGGCATGAACGGTTCGCTTGCGGATAGCAATTTTGTATTATGGTAGAAGTGATTTGCCTTGTTGGATGAGAAGGTATTTGTAGCAGTCTGGAAATCAGTTGAGTTATCAAGATACATTGAAGCCGGGACGAAACGAAGGCAGTTGAGGAGGGTTGCTTCGGGGGCGTTTCCGTCACACCCAACTGCGTTTCCGACTTCTGGGGCGATGTATTTAGAGTAAAAGAGCGCGAGGAAACCATGGCAGGTCGAAGTTTGCTGATTGCACCAGCGCGCCGGAGAAGAGACCTTTCGCTGCGCTGGAAGAGAGCAGAGCTACCACGCTTTGACCACCAGATGACTGCCCGAAGACAGTAACATGCGATGGATCACCTCCCAAGGCTGAAATGTGCTTTTGTACCCATTGCAAAGCCATGATCTGGTCTTGAATACCGTAGCTCCCAGTTGTCAGCTTCCCTGTAGACAGAAATCCCAATGCTCCAAGCCGATAGTTAACTGTGACGACGACCACATCGCTGCGGCTGGCGAAGTTTCCTCCGTCATAGTCAATCATAGCTGCGGTACCTTTCGTGAATGCACCCCCGTACAGATAAACAGCCACGGGGCGAAGGGCGGTGTTCTTGTTATTATTGTGAGGCAGGAATGGAGTGAAGACATTCAAGTAAAGGCAGTCCTCGGACATTCCACCGATAGGCACAGTGCTAAGAGCTGAAGGAGATTGGATGCATGAATTCCCCATGCTAGTCGCATCGATGTTGTTTGGTCCGGTGTAGGCTTGCGGTGGGGCAAAGCGCAAGTCATCAATTGGGGGACTCGCAAAGGGCACCCCGAGGAAGCGGAAGGAACGCGCATCTCGATATCCGGTTAGGGCATAATCGTCGGATGTGACAGTCAGTTTCGTGGTTTCCCTTACGGCTCGGTCGCGATCGGTTGTTCCGGGCGGACTTGAGGTACAGAGGGCTGGTAGCTTCACATTGCATGGTTTCTGTATGACCTTGCGATGGGCGATCGAGAAAGCAGAACATATCTTGCGATTTTCTTCCTCCGACAGCCAAAAGTAGTCATCATCTCGTATCTCTTTCGCAAAGATGAGATAGTCTAGTTCATAACCGAGTTCGGAGTGAACTTGACTATCGTTTTCACTCGAAGACCACGGGAAGAGCTTCTCCCCAATGGCAATGCATTTTGCAACAGCATCGGAATAGCTCGAGCGATCGTGTGCTAAAATAGCTGAAGTGCCATTGTTCTGGGGACCGAGGTTGTTGTAGTGCAATACGCGAAGATCACCAAGAGATCCAACATGGGGATGGCGTTGTTCAGCCAAGCCATGGCTCAAAAGCAAACACAACGCGAATATCACAAACTTGGACTCCATCCCGAAATTAAATCTCAACGACTGAAGCCGATGGATGCTTTCAAAATGGGGTAGAACCCCGTTCGTTTAGTGTGACATCACAGACCGCATGCGTTATACTTTGCGGATCTTCCAGATATCAAGCAAATTCGAGGCGTGGGGATAAAGAAACATTCGTTATTTGACAAATTTTTGCAATGGCCATGTAGCTTTTAAACCGCGGAAGGGATTGCTCGGAAAATCCCTTCCTTGTACTGCCCGATTGTGTACTCCATGACTCGACGAAGAGTTCCCAAAAGAGACGTGGTATGTTTCACACTTGTGGTACGGCCGTCTAAGTCAGATAAAGGGCCCCAGATGCGCTGTAGGAGAAGAAATTAGCCATTGTACCCAAGTCACTAAAGCATATTACCTACTACTTCTTTCAAGACACCCGACTCTTCGACTCCGGTTGCAATATAAAATTTCCAGTCTTCTCCAACAGCAGTGCACCCAACAAGTGGAGGCAAGTCTTTGACACTCTTACGCTGTGCGAATGCCCACATTAGAAGTCCTGTCATCCATACCCCAATCTGGACTTGCGCTTCTACCAGATTTCCATCCGCGGCTTCAATTTCGACGCCAGGACCCAGAACACGTTTTCCAGTGTGCGGATGGGTCATATGGTTGAAGTATTTCCCTGTCGTATGCAACCCGGCCTTTTCATATTGAACTTCGTAAGCGTTCACGGGAAGACCGACAACCAGATCAATTTTTCGGTTATATGTATCGCGGGCTGTATAACGAGGTTGATACTGGGGGTCAACGGACTCTGTTTGACTGCCAGAAATCAGCAAGAGGCAGGGGGATACGGGGTCTTCGTGGGACATACATGCTCCAACACTCCAACGGTAGTTCTGCAATAGCGCTCTCCAATAGCGGCAGTGCTACCTTATGCACCCAAGAGCCTTCGCTACGCAATTCTGTGGCACATTGACACGAAGCACTCGAGATTTTCTGAGCAACATCTTCATTCCCACTGAACTCAGAATCTTGTGTGAAATCTGCTAGTAGCTGACTCGCAGCACGGCTTTTAGGGTCGGCGGATTCATGTATATAGACCACCCGAGGGATGGCTGTGGCTAGTTCAGCCTTCACGCGTGATGGGCTCGATGAACGTGATCGCCCACTACCCCGACTGGCCGCAGAACTTGATGGGGTCAGAGAGATTATATCGTCAGCTAGGCGGGCGGAAACGGTGGATGCTGTTTCAGAGGTAGTTCGATGGGATCTATTATGGGGATCTAACTGCGACGTCGGACTCTCGGCTTCGAACACCGACCTCTTGCGTTTGTGCTGAGATGCTGAACTTGAAGGGTTTCCCGCCAGTTTTTCGGTATTAGGCAGGGTTTTGGGCACGCTCCTCGCAACTTCTTCGACCCAAGACAAGATCGCGGGGATTTTCCCGGCAGACATCGAGGGGAATTAAGCGCAACATGGTCTATTGCAAAATTGGCCTTATTTTTTCCCTGAAAGACTCGCAAGACTCGCGATAAGTAACAAAATAAGGTTTTGGGAATACTCCGTAGTATCCCCGAGATTGTCGCTGGAGCAACCGCTGAGAATATGATAGATCACGCGCTTCTCCTGTTTCCACTGCTCCCAGAGTCAAAACGCTTTTAGTAAATTGAAAATCAGGAAGTGAAGCAGCTTTACTTGACGTTACATTCAATGAACGATGAATTACGCAGTCTGTTGTGCAGAAAACTCGTTGGCTCGTTCTTTATGAGGCTGCCGATGATCCTATATACTGGAGATATATTTACGATAAACGCAGGAAAATATACTGATTTTTATTGAAGTCCAACTTTTCTACCCGAAATATAGGCAATTCGAGCAGTTAAATTCTATTCCTCACGAGACGACTGCTAGTTTGCTTCGAACAGGCTTGTTCTCTGCCAGTCCGGGCTCTGGGAAGCCAGAGACATGGACACCCTTTCGGAAAAGAAGACAATGTGTCGAACCACCAAAATGGAACATGCCAATTTCATCTCCCTTCTTCAATTTATCGCCCTCCTTGACGGTGATATCACAGGTGGAGACCTCTGCCATTCCAACTCCAATGAACGCCACCAACCCAATGGCTGGCTCATCCGCTTCAATGAAAATGAGTGCTCGCGTGGCGGTTGAAGTGATGTATCCCTGCGAAGTGACCTGACCCGCCATGTCAATATCCTTCTGCTCAACATCCGGGTTCCCAACACCTTCGAACAGCGGTTCGGAATAGTAAGTGCCGTTAACAACATAGGCCTTGACAACCTTCCCACTAACAGGCGCGTGCCAACGGTGATAACTTAACGCACTAAGGAATGCCTGATAAATAGTGCCGCCAACAAACTGCGACGCAAGTTCATCATGGCCCAGCATATCGAGCACAGAGTAGGGCTGGCTCTTGATCCAGAAGTGGTCACGCACTTTCACATGGTGCGCAATCCTATACGGCCTCGACTCGCACGCGTTAGCGATAACCTTTCCGTCCTCCGGATCTGCGACGGGGCGTATTCCCTCCCTGAGGGTGCGGGTGAAGAAGTCATCCCACGACTTGAAGCCGTGATTTGGAGCATATTGGTCACATTCAAACATGTCATGGAATTCCAATTCCGTCTGCGCTAGCGGACCGATCTTTGCAACAGCTGTAAGATCCCGACGGCCAGTCTTACCGAACCATCCGTGAGAGGTGTTATTCAGCACATCGGCGGAAGCGGGAGAGCGCAGGAATTCGCCCCACACATTCAAGATCTTCTTGATCATCGCGTTGATCTCGGGATCTAGGAAGGCCGCATATCCACTAGGTGTACCCATCGGCCAGTCGAGGACGGCATTGATAGGCAAACCGACTAGCCCGACGCGGTTTGCCTTGTCGGTCCAGGAAGGCGCAGTGGTGAGGAGATGGTTGAGAACACGCAGGAAATGGTTATAGTCGCGGATTTCAGGGTTTCCCGTTACGTCGTGGCCGTATCGCTTCCTCCGTGGGACTTCCTTGAACATTGAAGTCAAGAGCATGTATATGCGAGTGTTCGATTCGATGAGTTGCCTGAATTCCTCTAGGACCGGGTGGAGGGGTTTCTGAGACTCGTCGTCGACTTTCTTGATTATTCCTCCCAGCCATTCTTGGTGAGCTTTGTAGTCTGCTGGCATCCAGTTGCCGTACCTTGTGAATGTGAGCATCATGATACCCCTTGGGATGGGATTGATGCCTTACCTGTGAAGGTGGTGTTCTGAATTAGGGTCCGTCATCTTTTCCAAAATAGTAGAGAACTGAATTATACTCAAAAGCCTCACATTGACATCCGTCTGGGTGATGGTCAATCAGATATTTATACTAGTGTAAATTGAACCCATAGATTACATCAGTATGATGCTCTCAGGCAGAACAAAGTCCAGGCATCTTTTAGATGAATGAAAGAGCCTTGCATGTGAGGCTATATCCGGGAGTCAAGTATGTCATGATATTCTTGACGATCTCATACAGACCTAGGAAATCGTAGCCCCAGGGCTATTGCGTGGTGATCAAAATGGTACCTAGTTGGGGTTACTGATGTCATGAAGACTTCTAAACTTGAAATGCTGCATGGGTGATCACGACGATTGGACTTTCGAATAAATCCCCCACATATGACATGCTTGAATATTAGCAAAAAAGGACCTTTAAAAGAGGGAAATGAGGACAATTAAAGAGGGCAAAAAAAAAAAAGATAGACATAGCATGTCCTGGTTTCGATCCAGGGTCCTATTGTGAGTTAGTTTGATGTTGTTAGGGAAATTGGTTTCGGTGAAACGTACCTCCGGGTTATGAGCCCGGCGCTCTTCCCCTGAGCTAACATGCTGATTGGTGGAATATGCTTGACTTGGGCAACTAATATAGCATCATCTTAGGTTAGATAAATGATTTAAATGTGTTGAATGTTTTGAATCTGGCTAAAGTACGAAATTATAAACATTTTCCCCAAAGAATCTAAACGCGTTACAGAACCGTGGAGTTGACTGTGGGTATTGCTATTATGTACACATTGTACCCCTACTGACCGTGGGACTATAACCAGCTTGGACACCTTACCCCGGACTTCCAAATTCTTTTAATGACTTCCCTGATACCCCCTCAGGTTATTCTACAACGTCGAGTATGGCTAACTTCGTCCGGAATTCTAACAACTGTGCGGCAGCGACACGGAAAAGTTCAGAGTTCACCCCATAAGTCACATTCATTTCCTTCCGTCACCGTCCGTTGTCACCGAGCCTCCCTTCGCGATGCATACTGCTATATTGGAGATGAGACTTCACTTGAACCGGTCGGGTGAGATAATCGAGCATTCATGGAGGAGATAATTTGGTAAGCTTCGCGATGGAAGCTGGTTCCACTGGCTATGAAGGCGAAGACAACCTCCGCGTTCCATAAACTCAAACATCGGCTAACTCCTCAATCGACTATTCTCTTCCTCCAAGACAGCAGGTTGCCCAAGGCTTATTCCTCCATCCGACTGAGCGCCGTCGGCATCACTCCGTCTCAACACTACCTACACCTACACCGAAGCACTCTCGAGAAGCTTGCCACCAACGCATTCTACAATAAAGTATGTGCTTTAAACAGACTCGCCGTGTGATCTTAACAAAGATATGCAATGTGGTTTGTGCTCTTCCGGCATTACAACACGTGTCGGACCTTAGCGAGCAATCCCCGGTCAATAACCTTGAGACTACAATGGATGCTATCCTATGTAAGACATTCAAACTACGTGCTCGATGGTGTGGGTTTTCAGGTTGGTTGGAAAACAGAAGTGATGTTTGAATGAGTACTAGGTGGAAAAGGTTTGGTATTACGACGCCAAGTAATGGTGAGCTGGTAGAAGGGTTGAGATGGGATAGGTGTCGAAATTCCCTCAGCAATATAATAGGTGTACAGCGTTTGAGCGTATGATTCTTGCTAGGACGAGGCAAGTTGAGGGATTACAATGGGAGATACTGCATAAATATCGCATAAAGGTTACTAGCCTTAGAGGAGCCATTACTCCGTACCATGACGTGGGAAAGGGAACGATCCCTGACAATATGACCGGATCAGCCGGTAGACAACTACGCCGGAGAGTTAGGCGGGGAAACATGAGTCCGGTGGGGAAGGCGAAGAAACACCGATCCAGGCACATGATATTATTGGAAATGATCGTACAAATGCATAGGTACGGGGCAAATCTCGGAAATCCTACTGCAATAGGACTCACCGGAAAGTTGGGGAGGAACAGGTGGCGAGTGGGTCACTGCGCGGCTCAATAGTTCATGTGTGAATTGTTATAACTTCACTTATAAGTTCAGTTGGGATAGATGTATCTTCAATGAGTTATCATCACCCAACAACTGGTCTTTGCTGAACTTTATCACACCTTTTTCTGCCACTCGGGCATCTAATCCGAGTCAAAACCGGCATGCCGACAATAACTTTGAATTGTGGAGCTAACTCGGCTCGGGAGGTTATTCGGACCATCGTCGGCGATATAGGGAAAACTCAAACACCGGCATTCATCCGAGACATGAATCCTTTCGTTCCAGAGAAATCTATACGCAGTATGTATAAGCATGCCCCGATGCTGACGCACGAGAGTGGGCGAAGGAGAATAGCATATCACGAGCGAGAATTGGAGACAGCATTGTTATGAGACTTGTTATGAGACTTGTTATGAGACTTGTTATGAGACTTGTTATGAGACTTTCCCCAGTGACCTGACTGTATGTATCCAACATACGACGACGAAAAGCGCCCCGCTACTAGCATTTTTACGTAGTCTTCGTCATACCCACTTACTTGGTATTCCAACCCATTCATTGATCAGCAGGTTCTTCATTGTTCTCCGTGTTGGCAGCATAATAATCGATCATTACCTGGAATTCCCTTCCCCACTCTCCGTATAATCCCGCAGCCCCGGTTCTCATCAAATTCTGGAGTCTGGAGCACCACTCACATCACCCGACTTTTAGTCAGGAACACTTAAAAATTATAGAAAGGGACCAAACCCCATGCTGTTGATTCTCCCCTGGACAGCTTTTCCAACCTTCACTCTCCACAATCTATGTCAATATGAAGACCGCCAAGAATCCTCAGCCTATATCAGCTTCCCATGACGAGAATATTCCCTCAGTTGACACTATGTCAGCCCACGAGACACACGCGACAAAGGGTCTAATCGTCGGTGGAAAGTACCGGAATGAACTTTCAGAAGAGCAAACCCAGCATTACGACAGCAGCTTATTGCAAGAGGTGGACGTGGATCTTCCCCTTACAGCAACAAGGCCTGTGCAGCACGATGGCCGAGAATACATCGTGCTGGACTTCGTGGATGGAGACAAACAGAACCCCTTCAACTGGAGTATAGGCCGAAAGGCCTTCATCAGCAGTCAGCTTTGCCTCATGACACTTTTCATCGGTCTCGCCACAACAGCATACAGTTCCGGAATTTCACGCATGGCAGCGGATCTAGGGACAACAGAAGAAATTGGAAAGCTTGGTCTTTTCACCTTCAACTTTACATGTGCACTTGCTCCTCTTTTCCTCGCTCCCTTCTGCGAGCTGGCCGGTCGACGAGTTGTCTATGTTGGTGCCTACGTTTGCTTTTGTCTTATGTTCATCGGTCTCGCTCTCGGTAAGAACATCGCCACAATCCTAGTATGTCGTGCTCTGCTGGGTTTGTTTGGTTGTGTTGGTACAATTCTTGTTGGTGGCACTTTCGGTGATATGTATATACCGGACCACCGTGCTATCCCGATGGCTTGTTTCTCCTTTATTGCCATCCTCGGTACAGTCGGTGCGCCCATCTACGCCGGCTTTATCGACCAGGCTCTCGGCTGGCGCTGGCTCGAGGGTATCCAGGGTTTGGCGAACATCCCCCTTGGTATTATCATCATTTTTTGCCTGCCCGAAACCCGCGGTAGTGTGTGCCTAAGCAAACGTGCGAAGGCAATCCGCCAGGCCACCGGCAATGACAATTTCGTGACCTACAATGATATCGAAGCCCCTGGGCTCAAACACATGTTACACAACTCCTCTGTTAAGGCCGTGAAGATGCTCTTCACCGAGCCCGTCGTCTTTGCCTTCGGTCTTTGGATCAGTTTCGCCTGGTTCCTGGCCTTCCTCTTCCTGTCCGTCATTCCAATTACCTTCGAAGAGAAGCGCGGCTGGGGCGAAGGAGTCGGAGGTCTTCCCTATATTTCTCTCTGCCTCGGAACCACCATCGGCTTCGGGTTCCACTTCTTGCAAATTCGCAAATACAACTCCATTGCCTCCAATCCGAACGTTGAGGTCTCACCCGAAGATCGGCTGTATGGTGTCCTATGGGGAGCCGTCTCGCTGCCGATCGGATTGTTTGTCTACAGCTTCACCCAGTACAAGGGTCTCCACTGGATGGGTCCAATTGTCGGATTGGCTCTCATCACCATCGGTATCTTCTTCATTTTCGAGTCCTGCTACAGTTACACGGCCGATTGTTACGGAGAGCACTCTTCTTCTGCCATTGCCGGTCAGGGTTTCATGCGCAACACACTCGGTGCTGTGTCGCCTTTGTTTGCTTCCCAGTTCTTCCACAACGTGGGTAGTCAGTACGCTGGATTGATATTGGCATTGGTGGCGACCGTCTTGACGTTTATTCCGTTCATTCTGTATAAGTTTGGCCCTGCACTGCGTGCGCGCTCTAGACTTGCCTCTGCCACTGTGAACGGCACCAATTAAGCGGTTGGGTATTTTCTGTACAATTAGCATATCAAGATACTAGATTTATAGATTTGCATACGAATTAAGGTCTTGAGGCCTTCAAGAATTATTGACAACGATTTGAAAAACCTGTAATTTCTCGAGTAGTTTGTTGATGTGATCAGTGCAAGAGGACCGCCCCAGATTGTGTAGTCATTTGTTGCCTGAAAGATATCTAAGTGAGAAAATGTAGAAAAATTTGGCGTAACTATCAACAGAGATCACTGAGTAATTGTGGTATTCCTGTGGACATTGTAGGGGTTCGAAAAAGATTTCGGCACAAGCATCGTGGGTGGCGGGATATCTGGGGTGGCCAATTAGACCAGGGCGGTGAGCACTAACTAGCTGCAGAAACACTTGCAAATTCAGTAGGCGGTGTGTCTGAACGATCCGCTCTCAAAAAATTTCCCACGATCATCTCCAACTTAACCTCAATCTACATTCCACTTATCTTCCGTTTCAACTACACGGCCGTGATCCCCCGAGTGAGCCATTTCTTCAAGATCTGGTGTTTTAATCCCCAACTACAACGCAACAATGGCCGAAGATACTAGCGCAGCGTGGCCCATCGCCGATGAGGCCCTCGCCCAGAGCCTTCTTGATCTTGTGCAGCAGGCGGCGCACTATCGTCAATTGAAGAAGGGCGCAAACGAGTGCACCAAGTCCCTTAACCGCGGAACCTCGGAACTTGTCATCATGGCCGCCGATACCAGCCCTCTCGCCATTGTGCTTCACTTGCCTCTTTTGGCCGAGGACAAGAACGTGAGTCCAATATCCTAGAGCCCATACCCTACGGCGCTACACCGATAAACAAAACTAATCATTCGAATTAGGTTCCCTACGTTTACGTTCCCAGCAAGATGGCTCTTGGCCGCGCCACTGGTGTCTCCCGCCCCGTGATTGCTGCCTCTATCACCACCAACGAGGCCAGTGACCTGACCGCCCAGATCCGCGCTATCAAGAACCAGGTCGAGCGTCTCATGATCTAAGATGTCATCTTGGATATGATGGGGAGGATGACTGGAGTCCGAACAAGTGGTTTTGGACATGTCTGTTGGCTTGAGTAGCGGGTTTCTTTCGTGATATGAGGACTCACTGCTGCCGAAGTGCGCAACCGGCTTGCTTTAGCTGTGGAGACTAGGTTTTGTTTGCGTATATAGCCGGGACAATAAACACCTTGAACTTTGAACTGACGTAGTAAATCTTGTGAGATCATCGTAGAGGGGTGTAGTCAGCCTCGTTGCCAGATCATGTGGCTACCATGGCTTACCTCGGACGTGGATAAGATAATGTTCGAGTCACTTTGCCTTATTAGGTCTCATACTTGGGCTGAACTCCAATGCTCACCTGAACATTCCAAGGTTGGAAGGGTGTGACCTGGGGCTACGGCCTCCTGGGCTGTAGTAAGCAGCGGTCTAGATGCCAGGGGCTAAACCTCCATTTCCGGTAAATAGTGATGTCTTACTGCCTGATTTTGGTATAGTACAAAAGACCTTCATATTACAATGATTTACAGTACATTCAAGTGGTCAGGAAGTAGGCAAAAGTCAGGCATGAAGGCACAACTGGCACTCGGGCCATGCACCTGCAGATGTAGGCAAACCATTCACACCATGATAAAGAACATGTTAAATTGAGTACTGAAGGGGGAGTCGCTATACCTATCCCCTTGAAATAATTGCTATCAGACCGCAATCCCGAGGAATTCACTGTTCATTGTAAGTATCTTTTACCTATGAACCAGAAACAAAGGTATACAATTACCATTTGGCCATGCAAAGGGTCTCTTCAAAAGGCGGGGGCGTGTGGATCTCCCGTGCTCCGCCCCGCGAAAAAGCCAAAAGAGCCAAAGAGCCAAAAATGCATGTAGAAAGATGTAACCCTAGGTTTGTTTTACGTACTCCTTATAGCTGAAAGAGGTGGTCTGATAGCCTCTAGTAATGCGACAAGCCCAATTTGTGACGTTAATGAGTTATGTGATACTGGTTGCATAACTAACAAATATATCTGACATTATCTATTAGATTTGTCTCCTAGTCTTCCTGCATATCTCC